GAGTGAATTTTCTTTCTAGGGAAGATATTACATGTTATATGTGGAGACATATTACGTATTAATGCCAACTGTGTATCAGGATATGCGAGGCTTTTTGCATGCACACACACCAAAATATTCCCAACTAGGACTTGACTGACCTTAAAAGTAAATAAATTTCCTCTTAAATTACTCATAAAAATATATTTTAAAAATGCCTGTAACAATCAGACAAGAAATTCATCAAAAGAATCCAAAACTTAACGTCGTGGGCTGATGTGATGAAACAGAGGGATGGAAATACACAGCCTGACCGTTTGGTGTGGTGGCAGAGATTCAAACAGAGAACGTTATTTTTCACAGGCAGTTTGAAAAAAAAATGTCATTAAATGTTTTCATGAAGTTAAAACAACATTGAAAGTAACTTGGCCGACTTAAATCTTCCCAGCAGTTACTGTAACCCAAATATCACAACCTATTGAGGGCTTAGGTGCATCTGAATAGAACCAGAGAGTGTGATTTCCCTATCTTAGCAGAACAAAGATGAAGCAGAAAATTTGAAATGAAAACGAGAATGAATGTGTAGACTCGCTCATAAACAGCCAGATTTTGAGATCATTTTTGTTTCAGGCTGGGACTTATTCCAGGGAATTGGCATGGAAGGACACTGAGGCTTTGGGTCGATTTGTTCCTAAACTTCCAACGGGGCCTCCAGTGAGAAGGGCTGGAATTTGTCTAATCCCAAAGAGAGCTGCCCCACTGGGCACTCACTGGGTTTCCCTTAGTACTTTGTCATGTAAATGTAGCTTCGAAAACAGACGGTAAGTTCTCTGGGCATTACCTGGAAAATGAACTTTTCCTTTGAGGATGTGTGCATGTTAAACGTGTAGAATTATAACGTAAAATAATTCTTGATAGAAAGAAAGAGGTACTTGGCTAAGAGTCAAACATTTTGAAGTAACTTTAAAAGGTGAATAATTTACATTAGCATGGTGTTTATATAATAGGGTGTGTGTGACAAAGTTAAAATAACATTGAAAATAACTTGGACAATTTAAATATTCCTTCGGTAGCTGTATGGTATAGTTCAAGAGGGCGGATGTGTGGGTGGAGGGGAGAGATTCTTTTATGTTCCTTTATGTTTGAAAACTGGTGTTAGCATTTACCTCTGTGACCCAGATCAAATCCCTCTTGCCTGTCAGAGAACACCTACTAATGAACGCTGGCAACTCAAATAGGCAAGACCAAGGTTCTACCTTCACTTCGGGAGACCTGTTTAGGGGCCCTCCTGTGATCCTACCACCAGCCGAGACCCAGACAGCCCCTCTCAGCTACTGATTTTTTATAGTTCTGTGAGCTACTTGAGTTCACATTCTACCTTTCAAAGTTGCATAAGTTTCGCCAATGGCCAAGCCCAATGGCTGTGAATTGGAAAGAACTAAGAAAAAGAAAAGTAAACAAAAGAAAAAGGAATGGGGGAACACTAACCCAACACCCAGCCTCTTGTCCTTAGAAGCTGGCTAATAATGGCTGCACGTGTGCACGCGCATGTGCGTGCCCATGTACAGACACATGTCTCCACCTCCTGCCCTCACGCTGAATTACATGAAAGACTGTTGGTCCGGCCTGGAATTACCTTCATCAGAGGGTTGTTGAGTTTATATTATCATGAACATGGATCAAATTAGAAACAGCATCAGAATCTCTCCTCAGTGGCATCTTTTATATTATTTACCTTTTACACTTTGTTGCTTAAGCTTTAAATGTCTTCATCAGTGTCCTCTTATACGAATCAATGGAAGCTTCCTCTGGAATGTTTTTCATCACTCAATCAGTCCTGTAACCTGCAGTTCGTAGGACTTGTTTCTGCTGGAACTGACTGAGGCAAGGGTAGGCAGTGACATCGCATGCTTCACACCTCATCCGTGGCCCACCATTGACTGTGTTGGCATAATCAGTTGAAGATGGTTGGTGGAGTTTGCCAGTATGATGCGCTGACGGAGTACAAGCCAGCCTCTCTGATAGTTTCCAAGGACCCCCCCCTTCCTGTTATTTCCCCTCTGGGTAGTCCCTTCCCTTGTGCATGCACTGGACATAAAGACCCCTTCTAACAAATCATAGTACTGAATCCCCCTTTCTCTTTTTGGAGAACAACTCAACTATAATTACAACATATGCATGACATCATAGAGCTCAATCATAGGGGTTAACTAAGGGTTAATAATAATTCCAATTAAAGAAAAAGAACTAAAGGAAATTTCTGTGAAAGTCAGCCTTTCTTTTATGATGGACACTTGTCCTTCAGTGATATATCTGTTATAAACATGGTACATGTATGTATGTGTGTGAACAGTACAGTGTTTAATGCTTGTCCAGACTTCCATTATTGATGGAGGAATACAGAGATGGGATGCTTACAAGTGTCTTTGAAATGGACTAGTGGTTAAAATTAGGGTTAAGAGCCCTCCCTGGTGGCGCAGCCGGTTAAAGCACAACACTGAGAATCTAAAGCCGCTTCCGCATGAGTTCGATTCCCGCCTGCCCTGGAGGTGACCACATGGCGTGGCAGACCTCTCCTGACCCGCCCGTTGCTCCCCTCAGCAGTGTACTTCGTCGATCTGCCTGTTCTGCTCCCCACTCTGTCTCTGGTGAAGCCTCTCACCGCCCCTGAGCCTCTAGCCTGTACCCAGTTCTGTATGCACAAATAAATAAATCTTTAAAAAAAAAATTAGGGTTAAGAGACTTTTTGGGCCGGGATGGTCTGCTTCCCTGGGCTTCTCTACTTGTCTCCTCCCACTAGATTGCCATTGTTGTTCACCATTGTATGTTCCATATCTAACATAATGGATATGGGACAAGCTCAATAAATGTTGGCTGAACAAATGAGTGCACTGCAACCAGGGATTATGATCGAGTTTTCCTCAACAAGAGGCAGGAGAATTTTAAGTGAACAGCTGTGTTTCTTCAACTACCGTGACTGCAGTGAACTGAATGCTTGTGTCCCGCCCTCTCCCAACCCGCCCCAACTCATATGTTCAAATTTTAACTCACACATGTCATGGTATCAGGGGTAGGACCTTTGGGAGGTGATTAAGACATGAGGACATGGCTCATGTCAATGGGAATCCAGAGCGTTCTCTTCTCTTTCCACTACACGAGGACACAACCAGAAGACAGCAGTCTGCAACCTGAAAAAGAGCGCTTCTTAGCACCTAACCATGGGCCACCTGATCTTGAACTTCAAGGTCCCAGAAGTGTGAGAAATAAATGCATGCTGTCTAGAAGCCACCCAATCTGTACCACTTTGTCATAGCAGCCCAGATGGATCAATGTCTACTCATCTACCAATGTACTTTGCATACAATAACATGCATAAACATTGTGCTAACATTGTCTGCTTTTAATAAGTATGTGGCCTTGGTTAAGTTTCTTTTTCTTTCTTTTTTTTTTTTTTTTTTGTTATGTAGCATTGGTTTACAGCACTGTGTATGATGAGGGGAAGAAGTTCACACCACTTCAGATGTCTGTTATCACATCATACCTACTACAATAGTCTTTTACCCTAGACTACTGGGTCCCTCCTACCTTTGTTTCCACCCCAGCCTGTCTCCCCTTCTAATAGCCTCAACTCCGTAGTCATATTTAAGTTTCTTAGTCATTCATTTGAGCCTCCATTTCCTTATTTGTAAAATGGATGTAATAAGAGTACTTATCTCAGGGTTGTAATGAGGAATAGATAAGATGTTTCTACTATCTGGAATGATTTCCCTCCAAATCATCCCAGAGCTGGCTCTTTCCCACATTTAAGACTCAGTTCAAGTGATGAGTTCTCAGAGGCCTTCCCCAACTATTTTTTTTAAAAAAAGATTTATTTATTTATTCATACAGAACTGGGGTACAGGCCAGAGATGCGGAGGGTAGGAGGCTTCACCAGAGACAGAGTGGGGAGTAGAACAGGCAGATCGGAGAAGTACACTGCTGAGGGGAGCAGCGGGCGGACCACATGCCACACCATGTGGTCACCTCCAGGGCAGGCGGGAATTGAACTCATGTAGAAGTGGCTTTAGCTTCTCAGTGCTGTGCTTTAACCCGCTGCGCCACCAGGGAGGGCCCCCCCCAACTATTTTAACCCCTTCTCCAATTCTTATCATATCACCTCGTTTTAAATCTTCCATAGTATTTGTTGCTATCCGAATCTCTTTGTTTACTTATTTGTTTACAAGCTCTGCAAACTCTGAGTCCCAGTTGGTAGCTGTTGCCATGTTCTCGCTGTCTGGAACAGTGCCTGGCATGTAGTAGCGCTCCATCAATATTTGTTGAGTACATTTATTGAACCTTCCCGCCCCCCACCCCCGACCGCCCACAAGTCTTTGAGAAAGCCAATGGATACCCAAATTTGGGTGAACATTTTCTGATCATCAAAGTCAGGGAAGAAAACTTTCAAAGTCCTATTAGTCTGTGATTGAAGCATAAGATCCAGCCCTTGGCACAGGAATTTGTCATCTAATTCAGAGCTATGTGACTTGAGTGATTCTTAGAATTGTTGGTGGTTTATAAATTGCTAATGCTACCTATCTGCCATGGATGAAGCATACATAGTCATAGATAAAAGTAAGTACTGAATTGAATAGTGCAGTGTACAAGTGGAATGGGGTATGCAGAGAGAGATGCAGGTAGGGAAAGTTTCCCTGGAGGACCTTAAAGAAGATAAGTCACTCTAAAGAGAAGAAACAAGCACTAATGTTTTTAAAGCACTTAGAACGAGGCCCCATCCATAGTAACAGTTACATATGCGTTTATTAAGTTAAAATTACCCAAGTGATATTTTATGCCAGCAGATTTTATTTTTTTCTTACAAAAAGGTATAAAAATATAACAGGCTTTACTCATGAAATTCCCATAGGTTGCTCTTTGTCAAGAACACTCGTAAGAGGACAGCAAGAACAGTTTATGAACTCATAACAGTAAATATTATGTACTAACTTTAGAAATAGCCACTTAGGAAGACCCAAACCTGGGGGTCACATGAAGTCAATCAGATTATCTGAGTTAAGGCACCAATCCTCAGAAAAATCAACAATGGAAGAAAAGTGCCCTGCTACGCCACCCTGAGCCCCTGGCTGGGCCCGCCCTTCCTCGTTTAAGACACAAGGCGGACAATCACAGTTGGAACTTTGGCTGGGCTGGCGCAACTCAAACACATTGTAGTATGTGTCACCGTTCTCATCTTTGGTCCCTTCCCCACTGGCTAATTTTGTGGGGCAGGGTTTAGTGAGCCATGGGGACTTTTGGTGGGTAGCGCATGACACTGGAATCACTTGTTTGGATGAAGTGCCCTTAGAAATATAGTGCAAATCAGTGCTGTAGAGAATCATGTCATAAGAGATGACCTTGGCCTTAATGCCACATTCAGTAACACGGTAGGTGAACTGGTAGGCATATGGCTGAACATGATTGGGAGGACAACCATCGCCCAGGTGTAACTCATGGAAGTGGACATACACATCACTGTTCAACAGGAAGGGGTGTACTGAGACCATCAACCAGTCTATAGAGCAAAGCACCGTCATCGGATTTTGTCCAGAAGACACTAGAAACATGGAGGCGAGGGTGATCATCTCTGCGATGCACTTGAGAACTTTCATCCCAGTAACTGATCAGGCTACACCCCAGGAAGCTTGCTGGTGTGGATTTCTAGAAAACACAAAAGTCAAGCCATCTTAGTTTCTACCAAAAGCTTACATACGATTATTTCTTTTAAAACAACAGGCTGTTCCTTAAGTGTAAAGGTTAAGACAGCAGAGCTTAAATGTTCCCATGCAGAAAAGGTAAGCATGTGAAGTGATGAGTGTGCTAATGAACGAGGGGGGCATCCTTTCACGTGTGTAGTAATAGCAATTCATGTGCACTTTCACACTAGTATTTGTCAATTATACTTCAATCCCTTGCAAAAAGGGAAAATATTCTTTTGACAGACAACTGAATTTTGGAGCTCACTGCATTTATGGCTACCTTTACTACATGATGTTTTTGGTATAAAATACACAGCCCTCAGGTGTAGGATGAGTAGGGCATGCTTTTGTATGTAATGCTAACAGAGAAGTAAACAAAATGATTTTTCAGTCAAACACTGCATTCGGAAACAGGAACTTCATCTTAATTCAAGCTGGTAACACCATCAGCCTTAAGGACATTCACTTCTCCATGACATCACACAACCTCCTCCTGCTTGCCTTTGGTTGGTTATCGGTGACTTTAATCAATATAAGTCTAAAAAGAAATTGCCGTTTATTCTGACAACCAAATACTGAAACTTGGCCCAGTGACTTCCCTAAAATAACCCCAAGAACACTGCAAAGACTCTAGCAATAGGACTGCAGCGTCAAAAGTCACTGCAGTGGAGAATACTTGATACGTCGAGGGGGCAGTTGGTATAAGGGCAAAATCACAGCCACCAAAACATATCGGCTTCTCAGTTTACGCCTTTTGATCCCTGTAACTCATGCAACCGCCTCAGAAGTCCTATAGTAAAGAAAGGGAGCATCGGCTTTGCACTTTGCATGTTGGTTGTCAAGGGATCTCTTCAAATATTCTTTGTGGCCACGGTTTGCCCCTCACTCACTCAGTCATATGCTTCACTTTACTTTCTTCTGTTGTTTTCACTAGCTTTTAATTTCTTTTCTTTTCAACAAAGGACTCTAGCCACTTCCTAGTCCTATTGCTTTACCCCTGGGAGAGTCACAGGTAGTATAGTAGAGAGAAAAATCAGCAATGCAAAGAACAAGCATGTGAAACAGCTTCAGAAGTAGGTGACATATGAAGAAAGAAGGAAAGAGAGGACTATCACCAAACTCAGCTTTCATTTTAAAAGTGAAAATAATTCACACAAACAATTCAAGGGCCTAATATTTCGAGGGCAAAGTATACACGCCAAGTGCGTTCCCTGTGGTGTCAAATGACCCTGCATATATAAGTTCATTTGATGAATTATTGAGTGCCTACTATGTGCATACCACTGTGTTAAAAAGCACCCCAAGATTCCTTTCCTGTCCCCACTTGCAAAAACCAGCTTTATCTTTCTTTGATATTGATGAATTTGCTGCATTTTTTCATATATGATTTCATGGAAATTATGGCCCACAAGCCCACCAAAAAAGCTCGCTGGCTAGGATGAAATGCTGTGATTTTGCGTCAGCAACTTGATCTGATGGATACAATTCAGGACCCTGTATCTCCACCCACTCCTGGGGGCCTCCTAACTCTCCTGGACACGTGGAAGGTTTAAAAGGAAGATTAAGGGTACACTCAGGTCCCTCCTTTCCTCCTCCTTCCATCCAAAATATCTCCTATGCAGTGAGTTTTTGTTTCTTACAAAGCAAACACAGAAGCAAGAGCAACAAACAAAAAAATAAACCCTCTTAGCTGTGCAAACGATGAAACAAACAAAATAACACAACAACAACAAAAACAGTAAATCCTGGTGCAAATGGTCTTGAATAGAAATGACTCAACAGCTAAATAAACTACTTGCTCTAGAAAGATGCAGGCTATTAACTGAGCTTCCTTTATGAACTTGGAATCATGGCTCCATGGCTGGGGTGCCAGTGGAGACCCCCTATTTGAGCCAATGGTCGTCCTCCTCTTTCCTTCCTTCCTAACATCATCTCACTGCCTGGACCTTACTTGCCTTGACCACAATCCTCTGCTTTAGAGAAGCCCTTGGAATTGGCCAAGGAAATAACCTTCCTGTTCCATTTTTGTTGTTCAAATTCCAAAACTGAGATGCACGTTTAAAGTTTCATTTTGGTACCTCTATTTCTTCTCCTTCCCTCAAGCATCTGTCTATCCTGCCTTCCTCCTCCCCTGCCTCATGGCAATCTCAAAAGAGTTATAAAAAACCCAGATTCTCAGAGCAATAAGACAGTCGTCCCGCAACTAACCACCTCACCACGCCACATCCACTTTTTGAATTACGTTGCACTGAATCAGTCTTGAAGGAAGGGGTTTAGTAACATTGCTGAGTCTGGAGTTTCATTTAGTACAAATGCTCACACTCAGACAGAACACAGTCTGTTTCCTCTGATCTTCTTATAGCCAGGAACAGATAGCCACAGGATATAAGCACTAACCGAAGATCCCTTTATGTGTGGTCAACACACCTTTGGGCTAAGACCAAACTTAAAAGTGATGTCAGTGGCCCTGTGTTGGGGACTGAAGATGACAAGGAGGTGGGGGAGAGTAGGAAGAGGGCAGACCGGGCCTGCAAAGGGGCTTGCTAAGGCCTAGCACCACACCACACTTCCAGAGTTACTCCCTTTCCTGAGTGCAGGCCATAGGAAGTGAACAGCTGCCCTCCCTTGCTGCCTCTGTTGCCTGCAATTCCCAGGCGAGGAGAGGGAGAGAAGGGGTGGGCTCTAAGTCACAGCACAGTGTGAATTCATCAAATCTGTTTTCTCTAACATGTAGCTGAGATGTGCTGGCAGAATGGGGTCGTGGACAGGGGAGGGAGAGGGTAGGCTTGGATTGCTGGGGCAGAGAAGAAAGAAGGCTGGAGGAGGGAAGGGGCTGCCAGAAGAGAGGGCTGTGCAGGGGTGCTGGAATAAAGGTAATTTTAGCTTTAGTTGGGGCTGTGCACAGCATCCTGGGAGCTATGGACAGATTGTTTTACTTAAAACGTCCCAAATCTGCCAAGCTAAGAGGAGTAGAGGACCCAGGAGGAAACCAGTGTGCAGAAGGGAGAGCTCACCTTGGCACTAGGGTCCAGGGTGTCTCAGAGGCGGCTGGGCGACTAGAAAGCAGGTCTCAGGGCTTGCAGGACCACAGCCCATTTTGGACTTGATTGCAAGTTATCCCTGTGGTATTCCCGAAGCTGCAGGCTTAAATGCATTTGTATAGCCAAGCAGGGCTCAGCTATTGGTACATACCGTTCTGAACTGAGCTATAGAGAGCCCAGCAGAAGCAGAGCTGCTAATGACACCTGGATGCAAAATGTTTGCTTTGCTGGAAGCTACAGAGTACAGAGGCTTTCTGTTTTTCTCAATGGGGTTTCTGCTTATACATTTTCCATTAGTTCCTTTAACAGAGTTTCCCTGCTTCCATTTCCCCTCCAACCCAAGAACGCCCTAATAATTGTAATTCTTAATGAATCCTTAATGTCTGTTTGAAAATTATGAAACATTTCATTTTAGGAAAGAGAGCTCTATTTCTTAATGTCTTACAAGAAGGAGATTGAGTATCGGTGTAGTTGCACGGCGTTTTTTAAAAAAGACAAAAGCTGAAAGTTCAAATTAATTTTGCAATGTTGGTGAGTGAATTGAGACGTGCAACACACATCTCCTTGAAAGCAGACAGGATTTTCCTTCCCCATCTCCCTGATGCCGTTAGAGACACATGTGAACCTCTGCATGGGGAGTGGGGAGGGGAATTAGCTCAACATTTCCACATCTGGTTTTGGAACGGTTTGGAGAAAGAACTCACTCCATAGGCTCCTGGAAGCTTTTTGGGTCGACAGTTATTTATTTTTAAAATTCAGTCTGCTCATGACAGCATAGTTATCATTTGTATATTGTTTTCCCAGAATCTTGTTGTCAAAACAAAAGGAAACAGGGGAAAAGGAAACTCCAAAGCAGTATGCAATTATCTCAGGGAAATATAACTGTCAGGGATTTGATTTGCAGCAAAGTGTGTTCACTCTCTTGCAGCTGATTTGAAGAAAAATGGAATCTGAGTTGGAATAAGGCTTCTTTTACAAACAAGAATGGAAAAAGGAAACACGAATGTGAACACTTTGTGAACTCTTTACTTTAGAAATTCAAATAGTCACCTTCTGACTTTGCTCTGCCAACTTGCTCAAGGTTTGGGAACCCTTTTAAAGGGTGGTTCTTTTTAAAACCCAGTTTTAAAGAATTACTTGGTTCACTGCTCTCAAAGAAAGTCTGGCTTGTGATTATACTAATGATGCCGAAGGTACATTAAAGTGCATTAGAAAATGAAATAACTGCTTTTGTAGAACTTAACATTCAAAGAACCTGAGTTCAGTTTTCCAGCCTCCTGAAGCGCAGAGTAAAAGTTACCGCACGTTATTCATCATTTCTTGTGGAAGAAGAATTATGAACTGCTAATGCTTAACAGTGTCCATTTTCTCAACAGAGGAAAACACCTTGACTCAAGCCTAGAAATGGCTTCATTAAAATTCAACTAAAAAGCAGTCATTAAAAAATGTTCTTCTGATTCTAAAAGTAATGGTAGAAAAACTGGAAGATATAGAAAACAACAACAACAACAACAACAACACTCCTTAGCCTTAAAAGCCATTGTTAAAAAATTGTTTGGTTTTATGTATTAATAGCTTATTTTTTTGGGGGGGGGTATATACATACATATGATCCAGTCATTTCTGAAAAAAAAAAAAAAGCAAGCCTTTTTGAAAGCTGTTTTTAATCTTTGACATTGAATTTGAAAGCAATCAAAGCATTATTATTGTTTGGGCCATCTGGTTTTGTTCTTATAATCTGTTAAGCTATCAAGCATAGTTTAAATGTCACGGTTCATCTCATGCACAAATAAAGGTTGCGAAATCCATAAGCGTCCAAGCTCCTTGTTAGAGAGCATTGTGTGTGTGTGTGTGTGTGCGTGTGTGTGTTTT